ACGATTTCTAACTTTCATGTATTTTAATGGAAATTAAAGTGATAAACACAGACCAGAAAACAACTGTCAAGTGGAAGGACAAGGTTGTAAGGTTTTTATGGATATTTGCAAATAAAAACATTGTGCAGTTGTGTTTAATCCCATTTATTCTGTCAAACCCTAAGTAAAATTTAGAACAACCATATTCCTTGGAAGTGACTTATCTAGTAAATGCTGTATCCTCCACCTGGTTGTACTTATTCCAATAAATATACAACTTTTCTATAAATTTATCTGACATTTGCAGGAGAACACCATGAAGCCTAAACTACTCTCCACTAGGTCAGGTGAAAATACTGTTGAAGAATGAATCATAAAAGGAACCAAGTAGGTTATTAAATCTAAAGAAGCTGCAGTGATCTAAAGCTCAGAGTACAACTATTAGTTGAAGATTCCTCAAATCTTGCCATAAGTAAGCAAAATGAAGTCACTCATAGCTGAAAGAAGTATCCTTCTAAATGTAAAGGAGATAACACAATAAGGCTGGTACTCAGTGATGTCAAAACTCTGCTTTTTTTTTTGTTTTTTACCTGATTGCAAGTCGGTATGTGAAGCAGAAAACTAAGATTGCACTTCGTCCTGAACCCATCATGAAACTGACAGCGCCTTGTTGTCGTGAAGCTTTTGTTCTAAAGATTTAAGACTGAGAAGTTCACCTTGAAGTAGAACAATAACCCAAAACATATAGCAGGTCTACAAAGGAAAAGGTAAAACTCTAACTTATTTATGTGGTCTATCACAATATTCTGTCAGGTAAGTGGTAAACATTGTCAGATTAAAGTGCTTTACAAGGTTAGAGAGCAAATTAAATCTTGTCTGCTTTAATCAATATCTACGGTGTGTTTTTAAACGTGTTTCACTAAAACGAAACTCATGTAATATTTAAGGCAAAATTCAAATAGCTTGTGTCACATACTGTGACACAAGCTGCTATAAAATGAATAGCATAAAATGAACACTAGCTGGCAATAAACATACTCAGAACTCATGTCCTGATTTCTTCCCACCTTTCCAAATGCTTACGCTTAAATCTGTGCTAATCCTGTGAGGATGCATGGCTGTTGCTCAGTCTGCATGACCTTCTCTCATCCTCTCTTCGCTGTTCTTCTTCCTTTGTCTCCATATTCTGGCAGGACTCCTGCATTTTGCCTGAACACAGAGCCAGTCCAAAAAAATCCACCTCTGCATCGCTCCCTGTGGTTCTCCTCTCATCTGTCATCCTCTCCATTTCCCTCCATCTTTCTCCTCCTTTTCCTAATGAACTCTGTCTCCTTAGTTTTTTTGCACCCGGAGGTATTTCTGTATTTATTTTCATATTTCTTCTGTTTAACTTAAAGAGAGGGTTATCCATTTTTTTATATTGTAACATGTCTTCTGTGATGTCCATCTTTCTTTGTGTGTCATGTAGTCATGCATAGCTAACCAGAGTGTAAAAGCTCTGTCTAAATCAATTTCTTTGTCAGTGTTTGTCAGTAAATATCAGAAGATTCTTTGCACATATGCAGCTGTTTCAGCAACACAAACTCTGAAGAACAGTAAGAACAAGTATCCACCGGCTAAAGTGTATGGGCTCTTAACAGAGCATAATAAGATACAGATAACAGCATCTTATCTGTACATTTTGAATTCTGTGATTGGAAGCGTCTTCAAGATTTTCCCTTTTTTTGTATAAGGGTGGTTCAGTCTTCATTAAGCTCTATCAAGCTGTGCATTCATGTGCGAGTTTTTATTAGTGTGAGAGTATTTGAGTGAAATCTGCATGTCGGCCTCACTTTTTCATGCTAATCTTCCCTTCTTCCCCTCCTTCACTGCAACATCCAGCCTGAGTTGTCCCTCCTGGGGTATCATTACCTCCTACACCTGGCGCCCCCTTGAACAGCTATCAGACTGGGCTGTTCTTCATCCCTCCATCAAGCGTGCCCTTTCAGATGTCTGACGTCACACACACATGCATACGCACTTACAAAACAGGACACTGGGACATGTTTCTTTCCAAGAGAATAAAGGACAAAAGGGACAGATTTGTCACTGTTACTATTGTTAACACTCAGCTGCCATACAACCTCTTCTAATTCATGAATATCATGCTAAAAGCAATCAAAAAGCCCTTCTGAAATCTTCCAGTTAGATGTAGAACACGAAAATGTAAATATTCTCTTACATATACAGATACATACATATAAAAAATATATTTCTTTCTCTGTATGCCTGCCTCCAGATACTTTGTTCTGACATGCCGACCGGATAAGATTTAATACCAGACTGACCCCTGGTGGTAAAACAGACAACATCAATTTCTACGAAAGTGAAAATCTACTTTGTGTACAGGTAGACCAAGCAATTCATTGAATATCATCAACCTTATCTCACAAGAGAAATACAGACACTCACAAAGGTCAGTAATGCATTAACATTGTCTTATTTGAGCAACATTAACAACCTTCTTTGAGGAAGAAACTCTAAAAGAAGAGACTGGATTCTACACTTCTTTCTGTCTAGAGCAGCACATCTGTGCTGTGCTTGTTCTTTGCTTTGGGAGAAGTCTTCATTAATGTCAGATGGTGGGTCTGTGGCCACGATCTCTTTGACACTCAATTCCAACTCCATTAGACCTTGTTTCTGCCTTTCTGTGTGTGCTGCTGTCAGTTAACTCTCTGCACTTTCTGTCTGCTCGTCACATTGTCTGGATATTTGGCTCCATGTGGGTAGCCAAGCAGAACACAAAGCCACTCGGTGCCGAGACGAGATACTGTACACGCACCCACTCAGCACAGCTGTGGCTGTAAGTTCAAACAAGAAAGTACAATTTCTCTTATGCTCCTTGTTAGAAGAAGTGACTGTCAAGATTAGTGAGGTCATTTACTATTTTTTTTTTTTGCATTGTATATATAACTGATAGGTGAAGGATATGAGGATGATGAAAGTTGAAATCAGATTTTGGATTTTGACCCTGTGAACATCTGAGCTGACAATTTAAACAAAGAATCTAACAAGAACTGTTTACAATAGTTCAAGCTACTATAAGCTATTATAAAGTAGATTGAACTATATAGTGGATTGACGTAGTACATAACGTAAAGCGTATTAGTGAACATGCAAAGCTAGGCTGAGATTGAGGGTTGTTTTATTTGAATCAGATTAAAAAGTTGTCTGGACAGAGGATAATAAGAAATCAGGAGCTCAACTAAGAAACACAAGTATAAACCCTTTTTTCTGATCTAGCTGAAAAAGAGAAAGGGAAAGTGAAAAGCCGATAAGTTGAAATTAGATGAGAAACATTATAATAGTACAACAATATGACTTAGTCATTTTGAATAATGAACCTACTGTAAGTGTATATTTAGGTGCTAATTCAATCCTTTGAAGGAATGCAACTATTTTTTCAATCTCATTTCTTTTTTTGTTAATTAGTTTTTATATAATTTTTAATGCTTTTTAGAACTGGATGCTTTCACAACATCCAGAGTGAATATAGCATCAAGAAAAGATTATGATAGAAAATATTTGCATTTTTTTCCTTATACAGTTTAACGTTCTGCAACTGTGATAAGGTACATGTTTATTTTAGCACTCGATGTAGATTTTCATGAGAAGTGACAATGAATTTGTCTGGATGAGTCTCACCTTCCTTGGAGATAATAAAACATGATATGTAGTAGGGAAATATATAAAGGGTATTCTCTGTCAAATCTGAGTGATAATAATCAGAAACATTATGTTAGCAGCAAAACATGATATCTTATCCGACAACGACAATGTCAGATATTTGGGAAACGCAAAAAGCTATGCAGAGGTAAGAGGCAGAAAAACTGATGTTATAGGAGATGTTGGAACAGCTGATTCTTGTGAAAGGTAAATTTCTTTCCCCCATAAATGTTGCCTCTGTAGATGATGCCTGAAAAATGCAAAAATGGCTTTTATGCTTTGATGCCTTTAAAGAGTAAACACTTTAACAGTTTGAAATGGCAGACAATAATCATAGGAGGAACAGACACTTAAGCAGATTAATGGTTTTACAGTTTGCTATGAGTGTTGCTGAAAGCTTCTTTGCGATTTAAAATTCTCAAATAAACAACCTGCCTCACTTCAACTTTCCCACAAATTGTTTAAAACACATCACAGACCTGCTGGAAGAAAGTGACATTGTGCAGAACGTCAGATGGTCAATATGGTCCAAAGATACCAAACCAAATACCAAATACATTGACGATGGAGGACCAATGTGTTTAAACCAAAATCACACTTCACACAACTCTGTTTCATATCATCGAATGTTCAAATATAGGCTGATGTAAAGTGATATTATTATTCTTAAGTTTCTAGTTCACTTGGAAATATCTTACCTCTTTGAATTTTTTTAAATTCTGATTCATTTCACAGAGGGCAGTTCCAATCAGCCATTTTGTTTTTCACTTTAAGATAAATCAGAACCTTGACCAGAAAGTAATGACTAAATGGCAATTATCTTTGTTGCAGCTACAGCAGTGACACAAAGCCAAGATCCAAGCTGCCTGTAGATATATCACTAGATATATTATTGCATAACTTTAAGTCTTATTTGATGCAACCAGGTAATCTGGTTTTAATGCCTAAAGATTAAAAACTGACCTTTCCTCTATAAGAGCACCATGACTTTAAGATTTCAGTTTATTTCTTACCTTGTGCAATAATAACACAAATTGAGCTCAAATTGAATACCTCTGGAACACAACGATGTCAAAAAGTATTTACAAAATTACATATCTGTCTCAGTTGGACATTCTCTAATCATCAGTGACAGGAAGTCCCAATTGAAAAATGTAATGACCTGACATGTTTAAATGTGAAAAACTCTAACCCTTTCTGCCCCCCAAACAACAGAAGAAGTCTGTAAGGGGCAAAACTTTTTCAAAGTGCAGTAACAATAAAGGCAATTAAACCTCAAACAGGTCAAATCTGTCTCAGTGCCAGGGTGAACTCACGTGGTGAAAGCTGGATTGTATTTGGCCCCAAGGTAGTATGAGTAGAGGTTGAACATCCCAATCATGAAGGCCACAAACACCATGATGAAGATGACCATAAACTTGAAGATGTCTTTGACCGTCCGTCCCAAAGAGATCTGCAGCGGGCCGAAGCTCTCATTGGCTGGCAAGATGTAGGCGATGCGTGAGAAGCTCAGCACCACGGCAATCGCGTACAAACCCTCTGAGATGATCTGAGGGTCAGAGGGGCGCCACTTGTTCCTGGCTGAAGAAAAAAGGCAGAAATTTTTTTGTGTAAAAAAAACTGACCTTTAGTATCTTCAACAATAAAACCTTCTTGTCTTCTAAATTGATGTTTTTGAGTAGTTTTCTATTGCTTTGTGAACTTTTTGTACTTATTTGTTGCGCCTTCTTCTTGACCATGACTATATTCAGTGGTGCACTTAAAAATGAAGAAGATAGAAAAGTCAATAGTAGAGGAAGAAAACTATGACACATACAATTTAAATGTAATGTCAAGACATCACACTCAACTAGTTTTCAACTCAGATAAACTAAAGCTTTCATACATATGTAAGAGCAGGCACACAAAATAGATCAAATCAAAAACAGCAAACAATATATTCACAAAATTATTTATATAAAAAAATTTATATAAAATTATTGAAACTTTTTTCAGCTTTTTTTTTTCAGTTTGAAAATTTTGTAGGTAAAACCAGGTGGGCAAATAAACACACACACACAAAAAAAGGAAAAAGGAGTGGCCTGAAAATGATCTGGAGAAGAAAAGTGAAGCATTAGAAATTACTACAAAAAGCAAAGAAAAAAAAGTTAATAATAATTACTTCAAAAGCTCACAAGTCATACATGTTTCTTAAAAACACAATGGAAAGCAAGAGGGAGTGACTGTAGAGTATTTTTAATTTCCTAGTATTGTTTTTTCCATCAATTTATTCCCATGTTACTGGTTCCTGAATTCATACACATGTGCTATGTCTCTGTGTCCTTTAGGACTGCTAGCTGCAAAAACGATAAGGGCTTCAAATCGAATCAAGCATGCTGTACATTTTGCCATTGTCCTCATGTGCATATTGATTGCTTTTACAAATGTTTCTGAGCAGAAAAATATTCAGTAAAAGGGTGTGAATGAAAGTAAATGTTTGAAAACGTTAAAAAGCAAACAAAGGGAAAGGGGGAAAAGTAACTGATTAAACAAATATGTAAAAGTAAATCATTTAAAATGGACAGAAGGAGAGCAGCAAGACACAAAGCAATGAAGGTAAGCTGAGAGTCAAAGGGAAGTGTGTTGAATAGAAATGTTAACCTTCAACTTAAAAATGCTGAATATAATAAATCTACAGTTTCATTGTGCCTGTTAGTATCTATTTAGAACAATCGCCTCCATCTGCTGAGTCTTTTGTTGTGACAAAGTCCAGCCAGCAGGGGGAAGCACTAGTGAAGTTTCTTTACACGTGCAGATAAGCATATCACCTGCAGCCGGGAGTCCTATTGCTACATCAATATGTGAGGGACTATAAATGAATTAATTACTTGGTAAATGTTCACACAGATATTTGCTTGTTGTCATAAATTTAAGTAACACTAAATATCATACTTTCTAATCATTGTTCACATTATAGAATAAGATATAGCTTTGAATGCGATAATTTTGTTGATGGAATCACAAGCAGGCCAGACCTGGCACGTCATGCTCTGCATATCAATTAATAAACAACATCCATATCATTTTGCTTTGCACAAGGCAATTATAAAGCTCTTCCAGAATCTCAAAAGTAGATTGTAACTCGTCACTGTGTTAATTTCAACCATCATTTGGCTCAGCGTATGACCACAATGCAAAAATCAAACGTGATCAATTATGTGCCAAATTTTTACACAAAACTAAATGTTGCAGCTAAGGTGTGCTCATTATGCTGCTGTTGCTCCACTCTGCCTATTTACAGTGATCAACCAGAAGTACTGGTCTGTGCTTCAAGCCTGGTGGAGAAGAAAAGAAAATCTGAGTCACCGTCTCATCTCCAAGGCAAAATGATTACTTATAGGTCCAATTCAGGGGTGAAGCAACTTCAATGCCTAGTTCCTTTGTATTATATTGAGAATGGCAAGGCATAATGAAGATGCAGCAATATCTTTTAGAACAGGCAGTGCTCGAGAGGCTATAAGCTGAATTGACCCTATCAATGCTTCATGTTCATTCAGTCAATGCTATGACAAAATCTCTATGATAAAATAATTTCCTGTAACTGAAGCCACACTTGCATTTCCTTTCACTGTGAAAGGAGTTTATTTATTTTGCTAGATGCTCTTTTACTTAAACCCTGGACCTATTTTTTTTTAAATAAAAAATACCTAAAAGTCTTCAGAAAGCTGTTTACAAGCAATCCGAGCCATAGCTATATATGGTAATACCAGGTGCAACTGTTTCAAGTCAAAAGCTGAGATATTTCTGCATTTCTGACATTTACTGTACATATCTGATTTGAAGCTTCTTATTAGCAGAGCATGTATCACAATAAATAACCAACCCAGAAAAGATGTTAAATTTTAAAACAATGTCTAATAATCCATTTGTATGGAAATAATTGCTAAACATCATAATGGAAGAGTTTCCACCCATGGGGAACTCAGGTTTTGTGAAAGCAAAGTTCAGCAAACGGTTGAAACAAACATTGCTTATATTATTGCCTTTTTTTTCCACAGTGAATCAAGTGTTTACCGTAGGTGAAGTAAGCCACTTCATCAGGCAGTGAGGCATTGCTGAGGTCTTCATCTGGCACATGCATGTCCACATACTGCTGGGCTTTTGATGCCTTCAGGAACGCCATGAGACGTGCCGTGAAGGACGCCACAAAGATGGACAACATGCCAAAGTCCAGAACATTCCAAAGGTGCATGATGTACTCCCTGGGCCCATCGCTCCAAATCTCCTTACATTCTGACCAAATCATGCCTAAAGGAGAAGAAACATGTTATAGTCAACATCAGTATCTCATTACAGGGTGATAAGGCTTTGGATGGTGACTGTATGAAAATCTATCAACATGTTCAACAGGGATGAACATGAATGAAAAAGCACAAAATTTGAAATAAACTGAGTCGTAAATCTAAATAAATTGCTAATAAAGGTTTTTCATTCAAACAAAACCACTTAAGAGATGCTATTTGATGCTCAGGTGTATACAAACAGACATAAACATCTGAAAGCCAAATTCTTTGCTGTGAAGCCATTATGTCTCTCTCCAGATGGAGCCAAACAGGGGGAAAATTGCCTAGTGAAAAGGAAGCCCTGATCGGCACCATCTCTTTCACAATTACTGAATGACAAAAGCATGGCTGCGAACGAAATTATGCAGCAACTAAGCCACAAGCCTCTGTGCAGACTCGCACATGCATACACATTTGGGGTAACACACAGTTATACAAACAGCTGCTGCCAAAGATGAGCATGTAAGAGGGACGAATGATGCTATTACACATAAGCAAATAAAAGCAGGACCATATGAGAACCAACATGGACAAACCACACTTATAATGTTGTTATGTGTGAATGAACGGGAGGAAGAATATCAGCAGATGGGAAGCAGCTGAGGTCTGACAGATATCGCCATGGGCTATTTATCCTTTGAGTTTGTCTTTGTCAGTCGCCTCTATTTTCTTGCTTCCTCATGCCTGTCTTTTGGGGAGCCACACGCTTCATTCTTGTGCACTCTTTTTTTATCTGTCTCTTTTAGCCACTTCAAACTTTTCCCTCATTTTTGCTTCACTCCAGCTCTCTGTATATTTCCTCAGCACAACATCTGGGGCGAACCTGAAACTTTCCCGCCAGGCTCATCATTAAGACTCAGGATGAAAACTGCTTCAGCAAGTCAGAATGGGACTGAATCCATGCTGGCAGTAACCTCTGTTTGATCTTTGGAAGATGAAAGACTATAATTGGTTGTACAACTGTAACCTTGTCTTTTATCCACTTGGTTAGTGTGTTGCTGTAAGAAATTTTAATTATGCAATATCTGAAAGTCGGGCAAAACGTTTCTGACCCTTAAGAGAACCTGTAATCATTTATAAAGGATATGTTTTAAACAAACCTTTGTTTGGTATTTACACTCTCATACTTTGCATACATCTAGTGTATACATGCAGTGCTCCATAAATGTATTTAGAAAAAAAATCTGAAATATTCTAGTATTATTGTTTTTTGTTTTCTTTTTAATGTTAAGATATCAGTATATTTGTGCATTATTCGACTCACCCAACACCCACTTCATGATCAGCATCTCTGTCCACGAGAACTGTGTGGTTTTGACCCTGAAAACCTGTCGGGGGTGGTCAGTGATGGTCTCGTTGGGCAGGTTCTTCACACCCTCAAAGCGGTCTGAAGCATTGACGATCAACAAGCCGAGGAAGAGGGTGAAGGAGACGGCGTGAGCCACAAACTTCATGAAGGGACTGCGTAGAATCTGACCAAGCTGGAAGCAAAAACAACAGGATTTAGTTTGTTCAATTGTGTTTAGACCTGTGGTTTGTTAATATTGTTGAATAAAATATCTTTACAAAGCAATAGGAATGTTTTAAAATTGTTGAGTTACCTAGGAGTCAACCTTTCAAACATTTCTTCCAACTATTAAAATTGAAGCCAAACGCATCTGTTTGTCTTTCCTCAGGTAACTCAGCTTTTCTGAGGAGCTATACACATTCTGGTCCTCAGAGATGAAAAGATGGAAAGCATCACTACAAACCCATCTTAGCAGGAAAACAGCAGCTGTTCTAATTCAATGATCCATTTTCCAAGCAACATAATGCCGGAGTAACTCACTGCCAAACAATCAACAGTTAACAGAAAAGCACCATATGGACAAGAGGAAAGGCTGGAAGGTACTGAGCAAAAAGTGTTAAAAAATACCACAAGGATGGCACCACAGTATGTCAGCGATTATAAATACACACATGCTCACACTCGCAGCCACATATAGACCTCTGGGATCTCAACATTTGCCAGTCTCATAACCTGCTGTGTTCAATATTAACTACCTACGGGACACCTGTACCCGCTCTATGCAGAGCAACTCATGAAGGTGAACGGATGCAACACACACTGCTACATCAAGCAGGTAAAGGTTGCCTGATAATTTTTAACCCTGTAAAACTTCATCTGAAGATCTGGCCTCCTTCATTTCACTTTGCCGATGCATGAAAGAGGCTGGTCCAACTTCACCGTCGGCCTCATAAGACCCTTACTAGGCTTTTGTTCTTTTGATGCATGAGAACCGCAAAGTATGTGGGTCTATGAATCGAGACGTCATAGACCCATAATGAAGCTTTAGTGCTCTCTGACTTATCAAGTGGGACTAAAATCTGCACTGACTGCAACAGAAATACATTTTGGTATATGTACTGTACATGCGTGAGCACTGTGTGTAAATCAAATTTACTCTCAGGGACACAAAAGGTTTTAACCTTTAAATTGTTTATGCACACTGCACAGAGCTCAGCACCTTATAACTTTAAGAATTTGTAAAATCAAAAGATATGAAGTACTTTCTAATTCATGATGTGCATTGAGGAGTCATAAACGTATATTAGCAAAATGTGTGCTGTTCTTGCATCTATTTAAGATCAGGCCATGAAGTGTTTCTTTTATATGGTGTAAAATGGTGGGGAAAAACAGTATCTTTTGCTGGAATAATTAAAAAACATTTGAAATGTGAGACCGAAAATACAATGAAATGGGGTAATTACCTTTGTCTTCATTTCAGCTTCTTCCTTCTGTTTCAGTAATTTTCAACACCAAGACTTCATAATGTATTTTACCTTTTCTGTCTGAAAATAATCAAGTTACCTTGGAGCACAGATCTGGATTTAACACATGCTGTTGGAAATTTGATTTAGTTTTGATCCCAGAACATGGCGCCATCAGCTACCACCTACGTTGTGCTTTGGAAAGTCCTGCTTTTGTCCCTGCGCCTGCACCCAATAAGGGGTTTACTTTTATAGAAAACTGAATGTGATTTAAATTCTTCAGACAAAATTGAAAGGGTAAGAACATTCACTATTGCAAACTTAAATATTTGTGTTTTAAATCAATTATATGAATGTTCACAAATGTTGAACTACTTGCAAATGTTAACATATCATTGATTTTGTTTGCTTTCATAATCACCATCAGCAGAGAGCCTTTCTGTAATTACTGTGTTGCAATTATGTTCCAAGTTAAGGACAGCAAATCCACCATAATTCCAGGAGAACCTATTTTTATTTAGTCAGTGTTCCTCACACACACACCCAGCCTGTCTTAATTAGCCAAACAGAGACCGAGTTAATCCTTGACAAAACACCTAAGGCTCATCTCTGGAGGCCTCAACCAGTTCACATAAGACTCAATCTTTTTCTCTTTTCTTGGCTGCTCTCTATGTGGAATGTCTTACTTCATTCAATAGAAATGTAAATAAAAGGAAAATATATCTTAAATGTTAAATAATGTTTGTACTGAATTTCCATAAAATCTGTATCGATAGCTGCATTTGATAAGGCGTTACAAAAATGTAATATAACTGTGCAAATCAGTTTTCCTCTACAAAAACAGCATTCAAAGTCAAGAATAACTCCAGTAATCCACACACAAAGAAATCAAAAAGATTACTTCAATAAATTGTGAATGTGTGATCCAGTGCATTGACACAGAGAAATAATTACAGAATGTATGAAAAAAGCATTATTTTATAAGGTAAGCTCTATAAAAGTGGATTCAAAAGAATAATGAACAGAATTGTCCATGAACAAAAGGCTATTAATCCGATCTCTGTTAAGACTTGGGTTAGGTACAATTTTCAATAACAAATAACTTACAGCACAAGACTCCACTGCTGAAGGAAAAACAGGTTAAAACTTGTTTAAAGTTTGCTGTACAGCTTTTGAACAAGTTGAAATAATTGAACAGCATAGTCTTATCAGAAGGGACCAAAATTTAACTTTGGATGTCACTGCACACCCAATAACTGGAGGACATAAGGCACTAAATATCATCATAAAAATAAAAGACAAGCAGTGAATTTGATAGTGAGGACATGATGGTAGCGGATGAATGGAGAAATGTACTGAAACAATAAGAATCTGAGAATGAACAAAGGTACATTTTTCAGCAAGACAACAATCTTGAAGTCAGCCAAGAAAATAAAACCGAGGGAATGGCCGAATCAACTAACTCGAATTAAAAAATCTATGTAAAAACCTGAAGATCAAAGTGCATATAAGAAACCAACTAGATTTTTCAGATTGTTGTTTTGCAGTAGTTATCCTTCTGCCCTTAAGGCAGTTTTGTCTTTATAACCTGATAAATCTAGCTACCAGAATGATATAATTACTGCTAACTAATAAACAGCAGCCTCTACATCCCTAAATCAACTCTTCATTTCAGTGCACTGCTTCTTGTGCACGTTCCAGTGTCACAATTTACAGACTGTCAGATCCAGCCTCATCGGTTGGCTGATTCATAATTAAAAGTAATTATACACACATGCACACACACTCATGTACACAAATATTTTTGTGACACAGTGAGATCAAATGCAGACAGTCCGTCATGATTGAATCCCTGTCTCAGTGGTGAGGAATCTCTCAGCTGTATAGCACTCGCCATCGTCTCACTCAAACACTCGACATCAGATGCTCTCACTGCCTGCAAAATGACACACTCATCAGTGAAAGACCAGGCATGAACCAGTGGCCCACAACAATGTCAGTGCATCTTACACACAGGCACGCACACACACATATGCATGCGTGCATTCCCCCACTTGATGATGAGGTGGTAGAGGATTATCCAGCATGATGAGCAGATTTGCATAACTGCTTGCAGAGTTCCTGCATGGCCTTTGCAATATTGTCACTCCACAAATTATAATTTCCTTGATGGAAAATTAAGAACGTGTGATAAAATGCCTTTGGCACCGGGATGAAAGTCAGTAATTTTTAAACCTCAAGGCAAACATCTTAATCTGTTAAAAGCTGGTTTATACTTTGTAAGAAAACTCATGATGGAGCAACTGAGGTGATGTTCTGACCTCAGTTGCTCTACTCCAACAAACACATCCACAAGTTTCAATAATTAGTATCCTGATTAGAGAACAAGACTGCATGCAGTCTCTGCCAGGGCTGCTTTTTGTCACCTATTCTGTTCATTACTTTCATGGAGAGAATTTCTAGGCGGAGCCAAGGTGTTGAGGGGATCCGTTTTAGTGGCCTTAGGATCGCATCTCTTCTTTTTGAGGATGATGTGGTCCTATTGGCTTTATCAGGTCATGATCTACAGTTTTCACTGGAGCAGTTCACAGCCGAGTTTCAAGTGGTCAGGATGAGGATCAATGCCACAAAATCCGAGACCACAGTCTTTAGGCGGAAAAGGTCAGAGTGCCTTTACCAAGTTGGGGGGGTATGTCCTACCCCAAGTGGAGAAGTTTAAAAAGTTTAAAAAGTGGCTACTACCCTTGTTTACTTACATACCAAATGATATTTACATATTTTTTTCGAGCAATTTAACTAGCCTAATTACTGTCAGGCTTGTAAAATCAAAAATCACTTCAATAAAAGCTGTTTGGCAAAATGAAGGAGGATAGAAGATTTTAAAAACCAAAATCCATCATGTCTTCTTCATTGCACTGTACATCTTTGATCTAGTATACGAACTGGCAATCCATGAATTATATCAAAAGTTAAATGTGTACAAGAGAAAAACCTCAAAAAATAAGATGATTGAATGAACTGTTAGTCCATCACTATCTTTGAGCTTAGCTTCAACCAACCAGACCAGTAGAAGTGTGCCAGCTGTTAAATTACTTAAAAAACACAACACAACACACCACACCCACACACCCCCCCCCCCCCCCACACACACACACACACACACACACCCACACACACACACACATTTATTTTGCTGTTTGAAGAACAACAAAATGAAAACAATTCTGTCACCAAGAAAGCCCTCACTAATGCCCATGTCTATGTATATTGCTTTTCTTCTTCTGTTATTGGTTGCTGATGACTTCCAATACCTACAATTAAAGGTAAAATTAAGAATGTCCCAGGATGATATATCTTGTAGTAACATCTATAATAGCAACAACTTCAAGTAATTTTTTGTTTGACTTTCTATGTCTCTCACTCTGTTCAGAATAAAGGTGTTTCTTTTTTTGCTTGTTTTCTAACAAAGCTCCAGCTAATTAAGGTTTTCACTAATTGTATTAGTTTCTGCAGAGCTTTTCTGTTAAAATCCCAGCAAAACATTTCAATTAATTTGAGATATGAAGTTTAAATGAACCACTGCAACACCTAGGGTCTTTCACCTATTCTGTTTGAATTTGCTGTGTTTGAATCCACAGTCTGGTTGCATGATCCGGTTTCATCTAAACTCCAAACTCACATTTGACTCTGAAATACTTTGGTATACAAAGGAGTTCATGGTTGAATCAGTGACTGCAAGGAGCACAGATCCTAAGTATGTTAATTTCTTAAATATAATACTCTAAAAGTTCATTGCTCCAAAAGTGTTTGAATTAACAATAGACTTTTTCATTTCAATCCTTTCAAAAAGCCACACTTGCTCGAACTTTTTTCTAACTTCTCCAGTCAAAAGTTTGGACATTTAACATATTAACTACAGTTTCCCAAAAGGAGCAGATTATACAAGCAGAACAAGAATGCTAGATCTTTAACCGTAATGTTAACCTTTAGTCAACAATCCCATATTTCCTTACTACAGGTGTACCAACATGATAAATCACCAAGACAAATGTTTCTATTACATGTTACTTTGCATATAAAAACAACAATATTTCCAAAATTGCTTCACACTTTTTTTTTTACATTGATATTGCTGTTGCTATCAGGTCCTACCTTGCTGCATGGCATTATCCAGTAGGCAATAGCCAGGAAGGGGAGACCTACAGTTACCCCCAGGACTGTCCAGCACTTCACGCCGATGGACTGCTGCCTCAGGCCCGGCAGGTTCTCGTACCAAATAGTCAGCAGCTGCTGCTGGCAGTTGGGATGTGCAACAAACTGAAGACAAAAAAACCAAAAGAAAATTTAAAAAATGTGGAAATAATAGACAGAAGGATGTGGAAAAGCAAGATGAAAGAAAGCCAAAGTAGAAATAAATGTGCCCTTGGTAATATGTTCCCGGAAATAACACTTTTTTAATATGATCAAGGCTGTAATTAGGGTAGAATGATACAAAAATTTCACACTTGATACTGATACCAAGAAAAATACTGAACACTATTTCAATTATATTAATGAACTATATCTGCTCAATTGTGCCACTGTGTGTTTCATGTCAATTTCATGTTTTTGTAGCCAATTTAATCGTCAGCTGATGAACAATTTTCTGCGTTAATTCGTATCGCAGTAAAACGGGGATTGCAATGAGGCGTTGAGCTGCATCATTATTTTATTCAAAAACTCTATGAGTACTAAGAAACTACAATTTATATTTTTAAAGTTAAATTGTTTAGCCTTGAGAAGGTTAGTTATATTTCAATGAGCCTAAACTTGGTGATAGGTCTGGACTTCAGGAAGTTGATTTCTGGTCTTATGCTGCCATTCAGTGTGTGCAACAGTTGGATTAATGTTGCCTTTGTTGACATCAGTCAAAATAAAGCACTGAACAAAAAGCAGCAAAAAGTACATTTCAAACTGTGTCTACATGCACTTTGACCTTAAACAAAAAGTGCAAGGTAACCAAAATGATAGATGTCAAAAATGAACATATTTCCTCTGTTCATTGAGGTAAATTAAGTAGAAAATCTGTTCTATTTGAATAAATCTATCATCATCAAGATCTAGAAGTATAACTCAGTTATTTGTGCTGTAAATATTGCATAAATGGCTTTGAATTGTATTAATTTTGAATACACATCTATGAGCAGGTTTTGAAATCACTTTGATGAAGGACTAGCAAAGGAAAGCATGAAAGAGGGCAGCGAGTAGCAGTGACTGATTGCACACATTAATTAATGACATTACTCAGGGAGATAAATGAATGGTAGAAAAGGTATTACGGGGACAAATAGAGTACATGCTTCCTTTTAGCTGGTGGAAGGATGTGGGATGGAAAGGAATCAATGCTTAGTCAATGGCTAAACCTAACAATCAAATTCCATGTGGAAGTGTTATTATGTTCATGTTTAATGTTGCAAGAGACTGATTTTCTGTTGATTCAAACATGATTTCTCTACATTTTTGTTGTAGATGTAGAGGAAGCACCTATAACAACTAAAAGTTTTCATCTCAGTCGTTTTCACCTCCATCCCAGTGGGGTTGAATTCATCTGAGCAAATCTGACTATAGCAACACGTATGGGTAAGGTGTATTTGTGCAGCAGTTCAGTTAAAAAACAAAGATAACGTTGTTTCCAGTCAGTTTCCAGTTAGTCCTGTAAGCCACGAACCCATACGCTTAATTCTGTCTGTGTCCAGTCGTGCTCCACCTTGTTCCTACGGCACTGTGTCTCATCCCTGCAACTTCAGTAATTAGCAGCTTGCTACTAGAGATGCTTTTGTTTACTGGTTAAAAACAAAAAGTGCATCGCACAGTTTTCTTGCTGCCCAACACACACACATAACAGAGATGCAGGAAAACCATCGCTACCCAGGGGTTGCGATGGTTCAAAAAAACATACAGCATTGATGCCAAATGGAAATATGCGCCAACAGGACTTTTGTGAAGTGAAATGGGGGAAAGGGATTTGATTTGACATTTTAAAGCCAACTCTGCTGAGCGCGGATTAGTTCTCCCACAGGGGCCTGTCAGTTGCTTACTTTAGGTCTTCTAAAGGCACAACTCAAAAGTTTAAAATTTATTTAATGTAATTTTTGTACAAACACTTGATGCTTACCCACATAGTTATTATATGATCCAGGCACTAATGCTGAGTTCATTAAATATTAATGCGAGACCCAATTACCACAAATGGTTGGAAGCTTTTTTACACACACACCAAATGTAACATAAATCTGTAACTCCGTTTACGTTTTTTAGCAAGAATTTTTTGCTGAAATATGTATAAAAGTTATGCATTTTTAAATACGGTTCAAAATGTAATTTGATCCAGCTGATGTTAAGTACCCCCCATTTAAAAACAATGTTATCTTTGATAAATCCATTCTGACATTTATTCTGCAATTTGAAATTAGGAATGAGGATAAACAATTATTCTTTTTCACTATACAGGCTCATTATATGTTTGTATTATGCAACTTGGAAAACAAAAATCTGAATGATCTTCATGGTCTCCATCTCCAAAGACAACTTGACATCTATTTTACAGTCACGTTCATAGCTGGATATGAATTTCTACTCAGAACATTATCATTGTTCAGGGTATAATTGTTATATGTCTGATACTTGTGCAGTTCATTTTTATGTTATAAGCAGTTGACCAAGTAAGAGGCAAATAGTTCTTCAAAATTTTCCAGTATTCAGAAGTAGCTATATTAATCCTAAAACCATGACATGTATTCCATGTTTCCCTCAAACTCAAACTTTGGTTTGTTTGTTTGGCTTTTCTCGGACAAAGTGGGTTGAAAGGAATATAAGTGATTTCTCAGCCAACATGTAATACGTAGGGGAAACACTTTGAACTATATATTTATTTTTAAAACAACATGCTACAGTTTTTTACTTTCATTATCTGTAGCGCAACTGAGTGTTACACAAAACATAGTCTGGAGAATGAGCTGGATTCTTATTTTATTTGTTTTTTTTCTTTTTACAAATAGGTTGTCTATAAGATGATAACATTTGGATGAATTATGTTTACTGGTGAAATTTATTTTTTTTAAGATTTGTTTTTTGTATTCTGCATAGATGTTGCTCACTAATGAAATGTTGTTTTTGGAACAATTTTATGCTTGGTTGGTTTTTCCCCTCTGTGTAGTTTGTGGTAGACCGCAAGCTTTATTTATCCATTCATGACACATTCAGTTTAAGCTCTTTATATAACACTTTGTTGAACTGTAACATGTCCTCACCAAACCCTATTACGACTGGATTATGTCAGGTGGCTTTACTAAGCTTAGAAAGTATTTTTTTTATATTGGATTTCTGCCTGTAGCTTTTAAAGATCCATTACAATCTAAAATGTACTATTTTGCAGTGAAGGCAACTTGATCTCATAACTCTGCTGGTTAGTTTAGAAACATGTAACTTCCAAATAAAATGGGATATGACCTAAAAGGATGAGTAAAAATCCTTTTCAGTGGAAAAACATTTTCATTTGTCCCTTTATCAAAAACAGTAAATGAAAAGTTTAAACTCGCATAACAAAAAAATAATAATAATAATTCAAGAATGCAAATTGATCTAATTAAATATGAAGAATTTTGATATTTTTCAAATCTGTTATTTAATATACAACTGTTGTGTAATGTCAAACATATTAATTTATTTTTTTTGAATGTTATCAAGAATAGAGCTAGCCTTCATTTGTTCTTTGTTTTAATCTTGGTTATATTTCACTCTGTATATCTGGTTTAGCAATTTTCTGTTTCCCAAATTTTTACTTTATTCGTACCTTTTTGACTTCGTATTTGATGGCCAGCTTGACGCGACTGAGGCAGGGCCGGTTGTAGGGACTTGGTGGGCATTGGTCCACATCTCCATTCAAAATGGCCTCAACTTCTTCGGTGTCTCGACAAAGGTCCAACACACCCACTACAAAGTCTTTGCACTGCATGGACAACTTTCGGTAGTCATTCTGCAGAGGAGAAAGGGTTAGAAGTGTTAATATCAGAATTACAAATAATGTCAAAAACTACTTTTGCACAATGCAAGCAGTTTAAAGGTATTTAGCAGTGTTTTTAGTAACCCTCCACCACTTTCTTTTTCATTACCCATAATAAAAAATAATTATAAGGTGTATAATTATAAGGCACAATATATTGCATGAACCAAATATACATTATGGATTTCATTTTGAGTTCTACCATCTAGCGTGACTTTTTTCTTATATTGCATGTTGGACATATAAACCTGCATCAACTGTTTCCAAATAGATAAAAGATAAACCATCATGTTCATTTTTCAGTTCTGTTACCCCTCCTGCGGTCGTTGTACAATGCTTAAGATGAGTGTGGAAAAAGCCACGGCCAGACAGCGGGGAAGCTGGAGTTTTTCTATCAGATTGTCAGTTTCCAAACGTACACACAAAAATAAAAACTTGTAAAAGCGCAGTGTCAGTAGGACTCCGTCGGACCGTGCCCAAAGGAAAAGACGTGTGGGGTCTAAATGACTGTGGGAGGGTTAAACATCTTTCAGGTGCATACTCTATGCTGAATAAGATTTGTTAGTTCAATTATTTTGACATAAATTAAACTGTGGATTGATTATAATTGATTATACATTTCTTATATGTCACATGGGACTTTAGCTGATCATTTCACAGCTTAATTTTTTAATGCAATATAAATGTATCAGAATATGTTTATTATGAATTTGTCCTAACAACTTATGTGTGATCGATAGTTATTTTACCTATTAAATTAGTGAAACAGTGACAAAAAGGAAGCATTTTAAAATTAGCTTGTTCTGTCACGGTTGCTGACCAGGCTCTTCTACAATTTGCAAATTATGTCACCACAAACTCATACATTGTCATACATATATATAAAGGGAAAAAATATCACAACAGTGTGATTTTTAGATTATTTTGGGTTAAAAGTCACGCTGGTACGTGATGAGTGATGATACATATCACTGAATGTGTGTGAGACTGTGATCCGTACACACACAGCATGCTCTGTGCGTGTGTGTTTACGTCACCTCAGATAAATTTCTGGTTATTCTCTCAACTGACATTCATACTTCACACTGTTTTAAAGTTCCTGAACCTTTTGCCACTGATACTTGAAAAAGCATCCCTGACTTCTGACATGATAAATGACAACCCCACTATTTGCAATTATAATATGACTCATGTGTTAAATAATTTAAAGAGTTCATCTGCCATTTCTTGACCTCTTCTTATGAATCATTTCAAGATTACCTTTGTCAGAAAGGGGGGAAAAAAGACTGTCTTCTTCAGCAAAAGTCTGATTTAGAATAAAAAACTCCCAAATAACTTAAAAACAAAAGGGTTTGATGTTATAAATTTTGGGTTTATGCACATTTCTAGATGGCACATTAGAAAGAAATATAAAAAAAGACTTAAAATTTCTACCAACATCGCAATATGAAGAGTTGCATTTCAGAAAATTAGAAAATGTTTTAGTGTTGCTGTTCTGGTTAAAAATACCTTTTTAAACTACCAACCTCAATAAGCCTTCATTTCCATAGTAAAAAGTTTTTCTTGCTTTTGTCTGATGTTATACACTAATCGTAATACACAATAAAAGATAAAAGATCAACAGAAATTAAAAATTGAAAACATCATTCTGTGTGTAATTAATCTATATAGTGTGTTTCCATCAGTGCAGAAATAAATTAGCTATTCAGTGATATTCAAATTTATTGGATATGACCTTCTATCTCTGTCTGTCTTTCCATTTCTCTGCTCTTTCATCTATTTATTACTTAAAAAGGGTCAAAGACAGGACAAAGAAAGTACAACGGTCAGATTGAACTTTTGCATGATGTTGCAAAGCTCCCTGCAAAGCTTTACAAGAACAAAGGCTTCATGAAATTTCAGTAAAAGTAAAAAAAAAAAAAAAAACATTCTATTGAAAGGGCAAAAAATGTGAAACTTTATTTCGCTGGATAAACATTTTCTGCAGCCAGGTTTTTAAAAACTGTATGGAGCTCACCTACTGATCATGAAGTTCATTTGCATTCCTTCAGTGTGTGACCCCTGTGATGATTGTGTTCTTCCAAGCATAACTTGTATCATTTGTGCTGAATATAAAATAGCAATGTTAGCTCCTGGAGCGGTGTGCAATTTCCTTGGATTCATTAATAAAACTAGAGAGAAGTGCGTTTGATAACACTGGTTAGATGACTCATCACTGTCAGTCAATTAAAGGTAAATAATTTAGACTATCTGTTAGAAACATCTGTTTGGTCAGTGTTTCTTTCAGACAGCTTGCTGAAATAAATCCATTTTAATCTCAAGACAATACATCAGAGTGCTACATGTACCAGCAATATATTGACAAGCAACAACATTTACATGGCAAGGTGGGAAAATCTAGTCTAACAGATGATAACGCGTATAAAAATCCAATATCAATGTCAGATGCATGTCTTTTTTAAACCGGATATGAGATTACAAAAGATTCAGGAGATTAAAATCGAATGATGTGAAACAGACAAAATGGGGAGGAACCCAAGAGAGAAAAACAAGTCAAAACTGGATATGAACAACAAAAATCTAATTTCACTGAGAATTAAACTCATTAAATAATTAGCTTTGTGTTTCATCCTAGTTCTTTTAACATAAAAATCGGCAAAAATAATTAAAACAGAAAATAAGAACTGCGTAAATGAAATAACTCCCTCTCCACTGCACTTTCTTAAAAAGTGTGGCTGCCTTTGTCCGGAGGCTGACATGCAAAATTGATAGCCTGTCTTGAAAAGTAAGACGTTTGATGATAAATGTCAAGTCACTATGGCAGGTTCTGGTGCCGGTAGCTGTACTCACATCTTCATTTAACTTAACTTAAAACAAAAAAATTCAGCATTTTTTGACGTTAGATATTTCGCCAGAGGAAATAGAGTTGGTCATTTCTTTCGCAGATGTGTTCTTTTTAGATACACACATTACTGAGATTTTTTACACACACTTATTCTATATTATCCCAATGTTTAAGATATTAACTCAGAGCTTTCAGTCTTCAGAGAAGACTCTTGCAAGGTCTGTAGAGGCTTGCTATTTCTGGAAGCTCAGGGATGTTGAAATCTGCAAAACACACAATGAATCAAGTCTATAAAAATATCTGAGTTTTAGACTTTAAGACGGACCTCAAAAGATACAGTAATTAAAATTAGGTTTATTTTCTACAAGACAACTAATTACATGCTACTACCCAAACGTTGAACCACCAGAGTAAGGAGACAGTCATTACAGCAAACCCAACAATGCTAAAACCTGTGTTCAGTTCTGCTCTCACAAATTAATGAAAGACGGCCATTTACTTTGTGTTGCAAATCAGAGATCTGATGTAAAATAAATTTCCTCTTCAAAGAATAGGTACGACTTTCATTTAAAATTAAGTTCTTTTATTTTTTTTTGCACAGATTCGACCAACAACAACCATTCACACATGAATTAAAACAGATTTACTGCTGATTATTACAAGCTTGTTTCAGGTCAACATGTCTGCTTGGAAATAGGCCTGTGAATGCTTTCTGTATTTATGAACTTATTTTTCAAACTTAACCAAAGTTTCACCCACCCAAGAAATAAACAAAAGGGAATGAATACTGGTGGGTTGTGATGATGTAAATTTGGAGGATTCTCAAATCAAAAAAGGCTGCTGTTTACAAGCTGTCCTTCAAATCTCAGATATGACAGCTGTGCTGGTTATGTGTTTGCCGTGATTATGATTATGCATCTGTGTGGCTCTGAGATGACACTGGAGCTGATGACATAGCTTGATTGCTACACCCAAAGAGATTTGGAGCACCTGGCACCAGATCTTTTTTAGATGTGCAATTACCAGCTTCCAGCATGGAAAGAGTATATCTTTTTCTGGTCTCTCTTCATTTTAGGGACTTATTTTATTTATTTGGATAATTTCCAATCACATTTTTGATATAAAATCTAAACCAGGGGTGTCAAACTCAAATACACAGTGGGCCAAAACTTTCAATTGAACAAAGTCGCGGGCCAAGGTTGAACAAATGAATCTTTTAATATGGACCCAAACAAGTTCTAATATAACAATAAATATTGAAGAAGCAAAGCTTATCTAACTTAAAAGTGCAGGTGTGCAAAATTGAGTTGCTAATAATAATAAAACATATTATATTAAATAAAATATATTTAATATATGAAATAAAATATTAAATAAAATTTAAATAAAAATGTAATGCCTCCTTTCTGATGTAAATGTCTAATATTAATTTGAAATTGCCTCGCGGGCCAAATATAATTACACTGCGGGCCAAATTTGGCCCGCGGGCCAGAGTTTGACACCTATGATCTAAACATTAGCATAAGGCTAACAAACAAAATGTATATTTTTCTTAGGTATTTTCAGAGAACCAGTTCATTTTAAAGCTGAATGATGTTGTTGCCATGCAACAAGACGCCCAGGGTTTGAATCCCGGCCTCATATCTTCCTGTATGGAGTTCAAATGCTTTCCTCATAGATGTGTGGGTCCTCTATGAGTACTCTGGCTTCCTCCCTCAGTGCATAAACATGACTGTTATTTTATTTTATTATCATCATGTGTTTGTTTAATCTGCCTCTCACCCAAAGCCACAAGCCACAAGCTGGAGATAGCCACAAGCTCCACAGCAACAACAGACAATGGAAGGATGTTCAGTTTACTATGAGTAGCTTTTGTTGTATTTCCTATTTCTGCCTAAAACTCTTAGCCAATTTGATGACCAAGAGGAATACTAAATTCTCAAAAGAGAACTAACTTTAGCCCCAAAACCTCAACAAAGCACTGTCCAGCAGATTCAACGTATTTTAAAATACCAGCCAATAAACAACATTTACAGCCACAAAATGAGTTGATAATTATTTGAAAGAACATAAGATGCTCCATAAAATAAACGGCCTAAAAACTTCTAACATACTTGTTTCCAGGAATCAGAAAAAACCAAAACTTTACCTCTATTTTCATTCTAATACAAAAACATAAGAACAGATTTTTAGAGATACTTTGTTACAGGTGAAAAAAAAATACTGCTTTGTTTAGCATATTAAGAGGCCAAAGAAATGTATCACTTCCTCTTGCTGCAATTCTAAACCTGAACGTTCAAACTCATTGGCTGATTTGGGCTATGATAACTTTCATTTAACCAAGAAGATAGTTTGTTTTTTAAAGAAAATATGTAGATCTCTCAAAATATCTGAAATCAGTATTGTATATTTTTTGTCTTTATTGATGTTTTAATGAAAATCACAGCGGCCATTTTAGGCATACCCTTCTCAGCAAAGGTTTTATTGGAATAGCAGCAATGAAATACTTCTTATAATAGATGAGCATGTTTTTTCATGTGTCTACTGTTATGTTTGGTGATTCATATTTCTGCAGTGTTTTTCATGTCTTTCAGGTTTGGCGGCCTCCTTTTCATTATCCTAATCTTTAGCTCCCATCTCATATTCTCAGTTGGATTCCATTCATCACTTTAGCTGGGAGTGGGACACTCAACAATGTAAGTATTACTTCCAGGAAGGAAACATGATCAGACTTAAACATTATTTTCAACTTTGAATCTGCGGATTGAACATGTTTATATATGTCACAATGTCAGAGAGAAGCTTTGCCCTGTAACCTCTTTTGATGCCAGAAACCTGATAATTAATTTGAGAGTGTTTCAATTTTTACAGTAAGTGGATAGCTTGGTTGCAAAAACTTTGTATTTTTACAGACTGATATTAATCTGGTTTAAAGGGCTTACATAAACATTTCTCTGTCAGCAGTCCCATTAAAAGATGCACGTTTAATCTGTCTCTCATTTGACTATTTATAAATCTTCATTTGTCACGTGTAATTTGCCCATGTAAAGTTGATTGACTAATGCTATTAGCAAACCGAGTAGACATTATTTGATGCTTTAAAGCAATGAGGAGATAATGTGAAGGGAGACAGGGAGATAAATAAAGAGAGAAGACATGGGGATGGTAATGAGATGGTAATGAGTCCTAACACAACCCTGGTCCCTCAGGTGAGCCCCTCTCATTAATTTGTTGGGAGATGGGAAACAGAATGACAAGCGGAAAGCCAGCATATCAAAGACAAATGTGGTCAGAAAGTGGTGAGAACTGATAGGTAGGCACAGACATAAATTAATAGACTTGAGGAAAAAAAGAAATAGGTGAACTAAACTCCACATAAGTAGAAATTGAAAAAAAAAATCACAAAAATGGACTGTTAAAATCCAATATGATTGAATGAGCATAATACATGTTTGTGTACTGATTTCAGCTAAGATAAGGGTGCAACACAAAGGGTGCTTTTAATTACACGAGTCTTAATATTGGTCTGATTACATGTAATTTAGATGATTGCTGTTAATGTTTTCTAAAACCTATTTGTGGACAAAAGCCAATCAATCAAGTCCGCCTTTTTGCTACTCATCAGTCTCTTGAAATTGTGACTGATATAAACTTGGAAAATAACACATTTATTGACAAGAATTGTGTCTGTAATAACAAGAATAATAAACTTTATAGAAAAAAGCTCACATAAACAATGATTTCACTAAAAATGCACAAAATAGCATTTTGACTGATGTAAATTTCTGATTTTGCCTTTCTCAAAGTCATCGTGGAAGAATAACAATAAAAACAATTGCAATCATCATAATGGTTATATGTAATTATCTAGAAGGTATCTTTTAGAAAATATATACCCAGCTTTTATCCATGAGTATATTTCATTTGCCAGGTGGCTTTTATGTGAATGCTTGCTTATCTGGGTCAGGTAAAAATATGTGTCAAAGTATCAGGCTCAGGATGGATTCGGGCACCTCTGTAACTCAAGCTCTGGCTTAAAATGGGCCCAGCTGCTTTATAGCTTACATGTTCTGCCCCCAGCTCAAACCGATGAGATTTCTCCTGGAGAGATGAAAGCAAAAAAGGGTTACAGAATTTATTTCCTTTTCTTTAAAAGTCTCTATAGTTCTGAGATGCTGTTGAAACATTTTCAAAAACTTGAGCACTTTGGCTGTAACACACAAGCAATGACTGTACAAATGTAGCACACATCAAGACAATTTTTAATATTTAAAATTTTACAAAGAGTTAAGGTACAATGTACAAGTTTTGTTTAACCTGAAAAAAAATACTGAATTGGAAATAAGTAGTTCTACAAATAAAGTCGGGCCTTAAAAATCCATTAAAGATAAGACTGACGGACGCAGGAGACGGTTGAATAACAGACTGAGTGTAGTGTAGAAATCTTTGCTTCAGCACTATACAGCTCCTCAATAAAAACTGTAATTTATGTCCAGTATATAATGCTACAAAAATACAGAGAAACATGGCATTCTGATTCCTAGTGCTTTCCCTATTTCATTTGTGCAATTATGAAATGCAAATGTTTTATTGAGTGTTTGCCAGGATGAGTCTTACAAAATTTATAAAAGCAATGAAAGAATAGAATAATCTTTATTATACCCAGAGGTGTGGTGAAATTGAGAGCTCCCACTGAGCCACCCTGCTCCGCCAAAATAAGAACTCATTAAAAAACAAAAAAATGACATAAAGCAAGAAGATAAAACAATGGAAAATTGTTACTTCCCGAAAAATGGTTAAAAAGTCTTTGAGGTGACGGGATGAAATCAATTTTTGGCTATTGCTTAGGCATCTTATGCGAGTCTGTTTGTATGCGACTGTGAATGTAAGCAGTTCTGACGGCCCAAAGTATGAAGCTGTTGGTCAGTCTGGTTGAATGTGACTTGAAAGCTGGTTTGTGCACATAACCTACAATAAGAAAAGCACTCTGAATATCCATTTAAAACTAAAATCTGTTTAGAAATACCTCAAAATTCTGTCAAGTGGCCCATGCATTTGCATTCAGCTCATTTTTACAGCAAAATGAAATCCGGCACACTCTCCTACATGAGATCCACAACTGATAAGGGAGAATGTGTCAGTGTCAATTTCTACAAGGATGAGGTACAAATGTAAATCTGCAGTTTGAAAAAAGCCAGATAAGGGACACAGCAAACAGGTTAAAGAAGATGCTCTGATCAGATAGAACAAAATTAAACTTTATAGAGGGACAGTAACCCTAATCATGCAGCTTCAGTGGGATGGTTAAAATCAAAGTATATTCATGTGTTAGAATGGCTTGGAACAAATTCTAATTGTCAATCTGTGGAAACACTTGAAAAGAGATGTTCACAAATGCCCTGCATGGACTCTGACCAAGCTTTAGGGATATTGTAAAGAAAAATATGTAGAACGAAAAATATAAAAAGCCAGATGCTATTTTTGCAAAGTCGGAAGTCAAACCCTACAATGCAAGAACATGCAATCGTACTGAGTATTTTTGTGTATTGCTAAGTCAATATATCTTAGTATGCTTGAAAAAAGACTAAGCTAACTTATATGTAACTTTTCAGCAAGATATAGGAGCTTAATACATATGAACAGGAACAACAAAATGAAAATTAATTTCCTTTTCACATCATAACTATCTGCTCCTCTGTGAATACATAAAATCCTTTTCAAATAATTTCATGTTGTGGTTGTAACCTGAAAAAAATGTGCAGAAGTTCAAAGGTACTGTATGTTCTACAGAGAAGCTCCATATCTTAGCAAAGTAGATCAAATAAGGAAGGATATAAACACATCAGCTGCCTCACCTTAAACTCTGTTTCAATGTTGGCGAGCCTTGCCAGTTCGTTGCTGAGCTCAAGGGCTGTGAGCACAGGGTCCTCACTGCTGAGCGACAGGTAGGCTGCACTGGCCAGGCCCTTGTACGCATTCATCCTTGACCGTGAGTGACTGAAGGAGTCCTTCTTCTGCTTCTCCACACATTCTAAGCATTTACAAAAATAGTCATGAGGCCTTTCTATGCGGGCCCCCTTCGTCAAAAGGATGTGAACAATCTCATACTCCTGGCAATGAGCTGCCAGAATGATGGGTGTGATGTCATGGGAAAAACGTGTTCCATCCTCGTCGTATGCATAAAAGTCATCATCTCTCATCTCTTGCTCCAGAGGGCTCAGAGCCAAACGGAGACCTCCACCAAAAGCAGGATGGCCGAGAATGGCCTCGACTATTCTGACATAGCCTTTGGAGATGGCCAGGAGCAGGCCGTCCCCGATCCGAGCCAGGCCATCTTTTTTCAGCAACAGCTCTGTCACTTCCAGGTGTTCATTGCCCACTGCCAGTTGTAGAGCATTCTGGCCCATGTAGTCCACACAGTTAAAGTTCAGTGTTTTGGACTCTTCTAGCATTTTGCGCACCACAGGAATGTTGCCATACTCTGCAGCATCCAGAAAACGTTCCTCCTCTGCAGTGAGAGCAGAGCCGCGCTCATTAAACATGTAGGCTGGACCCCGAACAGCCTGGCGACGCCCCTTTTCCCTCAGTGTTGTGTGCCGGCGATGCATGGCTTCCACTCTGGGAGCAAAAAAAAAAAGACAGAAAACAGAAGTCAGTAAAAGCAATACTTTGTGTAATGAAGGAGGAGAAGGTGTGCTAAACATATCTGACAAATTTGGGACTTAGCTGTAAGAGTCAGAGAAGTATAATCAGTTACATTGAGCTGTGATACCTCAACACAAAGCTGAGTAATTTCTGTTTTTGTTGTGATTATGATAATGACTGTGTTCAACACAGATTTCTATCCAGATCTCAGAGAAAATCCCAATCCCAACTAAAGCAACAAACTGTTACTAAATCTAAAAAGGTTGAAGCATGACAAGAACAGTCGCTGTTGCTCAATATCTTTTGGCGTGACAAAATTCCTCTGTGATCCAGTGACATTTCAAACACACTGCTCGCTAAACTGGGATTTAACCATCATCAAAAACTGAAAAACTAATATTTCCTACAATGTCTTGCTTTGTCAGACAGACAATTAGACAGTAAAAGCAAAATAACTCATAGAACTTATGAACATGAATTATTACAAAGCTACATTTTTAAAGTTTATTGTTTCCCACAAAAGCTTGTGACATAATTCCAATATTATTGACATTAATATTTACACAACTTCCTAAAGGTCTAGTTTGAAAACAAGTGTAGCTGCTAAATTACAAGCTTGTAATTTCAGTTGGTTGTAATTCCCTTCTGACTCTCTTTGACTGTGCGTGTGTGTGCATGCGTTGGTGTCCATGGTGTGTGTGTGTGTGTGTGTGTGTGAGCAGAAAGCAGGACATTGAAGAAGGCGAAAATGGAAACCTGTTCATGCTAGATGTATTCACCTGGGGGGTTTTATGGATGTGGAGCTGAGAAAATGAAGACAGCTCCCTATGCCAAATCCAATGCACATGGTTTAAGGGAGCTGCGTATGCATGTGCTTGAATGTGTGTGATTAAACCAGGTCAGCAATGTTTTAACTTTTCATTTACACCATCAACATCTCAGGACGCCAATCACTGTAAGAAGGAAATCTTTCTTCTTCATTCCTCATACATTTAAGGTGTCAGACTATCCATGCATAATGTCAACATAGAATACATTATCTGCAACATGTAATGTAAATTATTAGCCCTATGGCAATCAGCAATTGTGTATGGCTTTTAAGTTATATTCTATAGTTGATGTTAGCAGCTTCACACCATCACCAAAACCTCCTGCATTTCAAAGCATTTAGAAGATTCCTAATAAATAGAAGAACAGTCTGTGTTCCAGCCCATTTGCATAACCTTACAGTCAAGTAATAAATTGCCTTTTCCCATCTCTTTTAATCTCTTTCTCCATCCATCTTTGATTGTTTGTGATTTGGTCTAGAAATAGAATGTTTTTGCATCATTGCAGAGTTGAATTACAGCAATGTGGACAAGAGGAAGATCACACAATCGAGAAATACTGTCTGTGTGCCTTGGGGACAAAAAACAAATTGCTGTAGGAGAGAAAGATTGCTTACATTACTTATATATGATATGGTATTATTCACACTTTGCACGAGGATCCATCTAAAATTGGATCATTTTTTATCATTCTGAAAAAAAAGTGGACAAATTATCTGGCACAGAAGCAGGAGCCCCAAGTTGTTTTTACAATAAAGCACATAAACCATACATTATCAAATTATTCTAAAATGTATTTTAAGCCTAACTGTTGACAAGATGTATAATATTCATGCACCATTCTATGATTATTCCTATACACCAGCTTAAAACAAGTGAGTTTATGTGAAAGAGGATCATATTGAAATAAACAAACCAGAGAACCTGTGGTGTGTAGAAGTTGATCTAGACTACTGGCTTAAAGCAACTTTTAAAGTTTTATTCAATTTTGTACAAAATGTAAAAAAATAAGTGTAACATAAAAACAAGACGCTTCTATCATTTGGCTTAATTTATCTAGGGAGGATTTGGCTAATTTGGATATATTATTCATCAATTACTGCACTCTAAACAGACTTTTGCAGTCTGACTATTGAACATATTTTTATTGTATGCAATAACAATATGCTCTTCAGCCTTACATATAATGCAAATCTTTGACAAAAGGGATACTGAACACTTATAAACCACAATATTAGACAATTACACATGCTATTACTTAGTTTGCTGAGGGAATTTTCATATCACTAAGCAAATTAGTTCATAGTTTGAGTAATAAAATGGATTTATGAATCAGTTTCATTTAAAATTCCTATATTTGCCTGTTTGGGCACAAAACAACTTTTAATGATACTCAAATAATCCCATTTCCTTCAAGTAAGATTTGGTGATCATGCTAAATGACTGTTTCTGACAGTTTCTCCAAAATCACTGACAGGTTGTATGGAAATGCAGAGGAAATTTTATAAATATTTAAAATCAATATAACACTTGACAAATTGAAAAATAAATTCCAAGCTTGTGAGTCCTGCACTGAAAATATCCATTATTTTCATTACACTCCTCTGCTGAAGATAAATGGTCACCCTTAAATCAACAGAACATTGTTCTGAGGATGTTTCTCCCTCTAAAAAGCAACATTTATGCAAAAGTATGAGAGCACAATTTAAAAAGTGTTTAATTTTCACCACTTCTTTAAATTAGGCCCCTAAAACTTTAGATGAAAAACCAAAGACATGTGAGTCCATGTTAATGTTTAATCCAAAACAAAAAAAAAAAACCAGTGAACTAAGCGCACTTGTCCTCTCACCACAAGTAATAAAATGGACATCAGACATTACTATAATATGTCATATAATAGTTATTTAGTTCATAATGCAGCAGGGGCCTTCAGCAGATTGCTAGACTGAACACATTGCCAAGAGGGATAGACATTAGCAATAATCTTAGAAAACAGGGGCCATGTCAAAAGAACTTAAGTTTATGATTAAGAAAATATATACATAAAAAAGTATAATTAAACCGAAGCAATCTGTTGAGGTTAAAGGAATCCTATTGTCTTTTATGTCTCACTATAAAGGAAAAATCTCTATTGGCTGTCTTTTGGCTTAATATTCTTATTCATGCATCACTTCCACTGCACCTTTATTCACCTGTTTAATTATATCTACCAAACAAAACTATGCAATCTGATCTTGATTGCTCAGAATGTGCTTCTTTTGAAAGCTGATCTCTCTAAGGTGTGACCACTGGGTCATTTATCAGTGCATGCAATCATTTATACCAGGTCATTTACAGTTTAATAAGACATGAAAAAGAGAAGAGAATGAATTTGGTTTCAAGTCAAATGCAAGAAGACCACTGAAAAAGTGAAAATTAATTTTTCATCTCGGCAGCTATCAATTTGTCTAATTTAAATATGCACCTTTCGAAGGCATTTTTCAATATATTGTAATGCTGACAAAAGTATGCAATCCACCCTCTCTTGCTTGCATTTTGGACAACACTTACATTCTGGTGGCATTAGTAAAAGTCAATGTGCTTCTTTCCCCTTGATAGACCTTTAAAGCTGAACACTGGAGTATCAAAGAGGCAGACCAGGGATGATCAAAGAGCCAATATAGAGAGGCCTGCCGTTGCCAACTTCTGATAGTCATGGTTATAAGCTGCTAAATTTTCATTACGTGCCATTGTGCATGTTCCAAGATCTCTGTGGAGCACTTCCACACTGGAGCTGTGGCTGTAAGCTGAAAATGTTGAGCCTTTACCTCTTAGTTAAGCAGTGAGAATGGGTTGAAAAAGTAGAAACTCTTTGTTTGATTGCAGGACAGTAATAATAGTCACTGGTTTAAAAAAAAAGTGTTTGACTGCATTGCATCGTAGTCTTTTCACAGGTGAAACAGTGAGTCTGAAAGAGCAAAGAGATGCAAAAAGAGGCTGACAATTACAGTATTTATCTCAAGCTATTGCTAGTCAACCAAGTTAATGATTCTACTGAAAAAAGCCTCCACTTCCCCCACTTGATGTGAGTTTAAAGCATTTCTTCTCACATGCTTGATGCAAACTGGGTCAGCGGAGATCCTAAACTCACCAAACCTGACCTGTACCTGTTGACAAGAGGGATGTTGACGTCGGTCATTAAATTCCCACAATGCAGAGTTTGCCTTGAAATGGCAATTCTCCGATATCTGCAAAGTTCCTAATTGCATACTCTACGCAAGGCCTGGAAAACACCACATTAAAACTGAAAAATAAAACTGTCAGGACTCACGATTGCCGGCTGTCTGAGCTGAACTCGGTCTCTATGTGCTCAGCAGAGAAGTGGTTCCCGTACTCGGAGATCTCCGGAGCCCTGTACAGCCTCTGTCCACGGTGCTGAAGGCGCTCGGTGCTCTCCGCGCCGCGTCCCCTCCATGTGGGAAGCGGGTCATCGTGCTGTTCATGTCCGACATCTATCCTCACATCCGGCCGCGAGCGAGAGATACACCCGGAGTCCACGGCACGCTTGCGGAACTTTGGCGGGGTGAAATGCGGGGAGCCCTCGAGTTCCCCGGTCCCCGGAGACGGGTGCAGACACTCTGAGGAGGCGAGAAAAGGCGGGTCCGATTCCCCAAGCAGTGGAGAGGCTGAGGAGAACAAGTCCAAGGGCCGCGAAGTGGAAGGAGATCCTCGGGGAAGACTGACAGAGAGAGGCGGCGAGGGAGACTCCGACAGATGTGCTCTCCCGCCGCCGTCGCTTTCCTCCCCCCCGTCAGACATCGGGAGAGTTCGGCAGCACCATTTACTCTAAAGTATTTTTTGCAAAGCGGCACATATTCCCTGTGTTTTTCAAAGTTTCAATTGAACAAGTTGCCGCTGAGGCGCGCGGCAGCGAGGGGCAAAAACCTCCACCTTCACTCAGAAGTCCGCGCGCACTAATTAGAGAGAGAGCGCGCGCAGGAAGCCCGACCTTTTTACAAAATGGAAGATGAGGAACAAATGAAACACAAACAAATATTACCAAACAAGCGGACGCAGCCAACACAAACAACTATAATTAAACTAGGGAGTAAAATAGAAATGACCGACATTGGTTATCTATAATGAAACGCAGTTAGTCGCTGATTGGACATGTAGTGCGCAGGTTTCTGCTATTTTGTATTTTATTTTATTATTTTTTTTATTTTTATTTCTTGTTTTTTGTTCTACGTTTTGTTCTAATCAACTTTACAAAACAATCTTCAATGCACAGAGCCGTCCAAAAGTCCATTGGGCCCGCGGGCAGAATTACAGGACCATTATCCATTAAGTTTACTGTCTGGATGCTGTGGATTTAAAGATTGAGGATGTATCGAATTTGAGATCTTTCAGTCTTCTGGCAAAAAATATTTTTTAATGCCATGACATGCGCCAAATTATTGTGCCACTTGTGATGTCATCAACTCAAATACACATAAAATAGATTTACCAGGGTTTTGTTTCTTCAGTCCACTTTTTAAAAAAGTTTTGTGTAATTCTGACAATCCCAGCCTCATTATGTGTCTGTCTTTCTATAGTCCACATACCTTTTAGAGGTGGAAAAAAATATACACTCTAAAATGTGTCTTTAAATGTTGAGAGTAAAAAGTGTGCTCTATTTACCAAGACTGCAGCCCACTTGTTTCGATGGCTGTCACAAAACTAAAATATCTTCTCCTGACCACACTCTCAAACTGACAACTGTTTAACTCACTAGCTCCAGTCAAAACACTGAAGTCAGCCATTTAAAAAAAATTTGCACTTCACAAAGCAGTACTTCTTAAAGGTGTGGACAAAACTAAACACCATTTAAAGTTGTTCCTATTAGAATTAAACAAGAAGATAATCCCTAGCTTGAATATCATCCATTTTATGTGTGTGTCTGTGCGTGTTACTGTGTGCGTTTGGTCCTCTAATTAGAGGCACAGACCCATTAGTCATGATGGAGACTTCCTGCAACCCACACACAGACAATAACCAGTCCTGAGCCAGCTCTTTGATCCGCTATTATGTTTATGCACCGGACGCAGCCTCTCGCAACACCTGTTTTCATTTGTGATTACATGTGGGAAGAAAATCATTCACAAAACTCCCTGAAGTCTGAGTACTATTCTGCAAATGAATATGTATTAAAATAAATGTTACACTTACTGAGTAATTTGGCATCCAAGCCAAATATGTATTCTCTTGTAAGAAGGAAAACAAACTGTTTGGACGTAAATTTATTCTCTGATTGCTGCTTTTCCACAGTCCATAATTTTCAAAGCTCATATGGGAGGTCTGAAACTGCTCAACCAGTTCTTTACACAACTTCTTCTCTAACACACGATAGATTATGAGTATCATTTATTATGCTTGTATTTTTGCATTAGAAACCTATAAAAATGAAAAAGCAATGAAGCAGCTTGACTGAATGATAGAAAGATTAAAACAAGTATTTTATTCATACTGATCAATTTTGAACTTCTTAATTCTTTATGTTGTAAAGAAAACAATCAGATTTTACCACATAAAAATACCAAGCAATCAGTAAAATAAGGTAAAAAAAATGGATTGTTAACATGCGCGAGCTAGGATTTCTTTTGCTGATGCTGAGCACAAGTACGTTTCTAGTGGATACTGCACATGTATGCATTCTGAATTAGGGAAAGGTTCAGTATTTAAACCATTTGCATTTTACATAATTGCTCCAAAGTCAAAAACTAGTCATGGTTACCTGCATCAAAGTGTGATTCTGGCTTTCACATCCAAAGTAAATGTCTAAAACTATGACAGTGTTAACATCTCACTTTAAGAAAAAATGTAATGTTCTTTTCTGGTTTACTGTTTACTCTAAGTGAAAACATACTGCTGCATTACATTGCTGTATTCATCAGCAACATAAAACTATAGCCTGCAGTCAGCTCTCTTATTCACTTCCATCACTAATGATTGTTTTTACACTACACTGTGAAACTGGAGAAGTCTGAGAAACTGTAACATCCACAGAAAATAAATAGAAACACAATACACAAAGGCCTGTGTCTTATGAGGTCAAAGAGCTAACAATTACGCCTCACATTTTCATTTTGCAGTCTTTCTTCCTTTTATTATAAATCAATGCATTGGAGAATTTGTCAATGCAGGATTTAACATTTGAAAGAATATTTTAAAGACCTGAACTTTCTCCAAGCAGCAAAACATATTCGCAGTACGAAAACTATGACTTCAAGTTCACACAAACAGAAATACCATAGCAGCCAATTAAAACATTCAACATGAAAAAGCTGAACTAGTGCACATCTGGCCTGATTTAGGCGTATGCCACTAACACCTCAAGTGTGTGCGTGTAGTTAAAAGCACATTTTAATTATTTAATATTTTGCTCTTTCTTCTGGACAGGGATCAGTCTAGTGCAGTGATGTGCAGTGAGGTTCGTGGCTGGTGAGGCACTGACTTAATCAAAATCTTAAAACCCCCTCCATGTTATAGTTTAAATATGGACATTTCTCACATGCAGACAACGTTGAAAGGCAAAAAGACTATAGTTATAATTATCCTTTTGGAAAGGCTGGTGTTTTTTTTTAGCAGTGAAAAAATAACATTAAAAATAAGCTTCAGTTCAAAGAGTCAATTTTTGAAGTTCGTTATTAATTTTGTTAGATTCTTTGTGTGTCCAGTTACATTTCTGTTATTTTCTAATCCACTGATTAGTCTTTCTTGGTCCTTGTGTCATTCTATCACCTCCCATGCAGTTAAAGGTTAGTTAGCTTCTCCCTGTGCCTGCTTCCTGTGATGGGCTTTACTTGTTCTCCTGTTGCTACTTGTTTACTACAGTTTTTAAGTTCTCCTCATGTCTCATCTACAGTTGTAAGTACTGTTATTTAGCAAAAATTGTGGTGGTCACACCTTGAACTTTTCCCCATGCCACAATACAAAAATTCAGTTTGAGATTTGATGTTTCATCAATGTTTCATCAATGATGAAACATCAAATCTCCAACTTAAAATTAGTCTAAACTTGTAAAGTGGAAAATTAGTCTAAACTTGTAAAGTGGAAAGTTAGTCTAAACTTGTAAAGTGGAAGAAAACTTTTCAAATATTTTTACATTTAAAAATCCAAATAGTGCTGTGTCCATTTGTATTTACTCATTATCTCTGCTACCCTTAAATGACACCCGGCAAAATCATCTTGCTTCATAAGTCAGCTATTACTAAAGTAAGGCCTTTTGAGTTTAATTGAATTTCAGTATAAATCCAGCTGTTTTCTGAAGGTCTTAGTGTTCTGGAGAACATTAAAGAACAAACAGAGGAGCTGCACAGCTTTATTGTCATCCGATGTTACTGTGGTCTATCAAAGACCACAATTAATAGTTTTATTAGTTGTGGTCTTATAAAACTATTGTGGTCTAATACTGTTATTAGACCACAACTAATAAAACTATTAGGCTACAAGGCTGGTTTTTAGGGAAAGAAGGCCCCTAGAAGACCACTGTAGAAAGAAATTCATAAAACGTAAAGTTGAAGTTTGCTAAAGTTTACAGGACAAGATACAAAGTAAACATGTGGAAGAAGGTACTCAGATCAGACGGGACAAAAACTGAACTTTGTCGCCATCGTGTTTTGTGTGGCAGAAAATCAAAGGTGCACATTACTCTGAAAACGCTATCTCCATATTTTTAGAGTGATGTGCAATGAAAGCATTATGCTGCGATGATGCTTTCATCACCAAAGCAGACGAGAGTCTTGAGGAAGATAGATGAATTTCAGTTGAAGAGAAAAACTCATCAGAGGTTGCACTTTCGTTTACACTGCCAGAACTACAAGGGAATATTGTATGGAAGAAAATGGCCCAGTTAAAGTCCAGACCTAAATTCACTTGTGTATTTTACATTTTGACATTGTCTCCTCCTCCCCCCAAAAAAGACTTGAAGTTAAAACTCGTTCTACATAAAGTGTTCCTCTTCTCAAACATGCTGCTTTGTTTTGTTTTACCACAAAAAATCCGAATGTAAATATATAGGAGTTTGTGATTGTAACGTAACAAAATGGAAATGTTCAAGACTGGGTTTTTTTTGGAAGGCATTATAACATTTGTCGGAAATAATCACTGCTCTGCTATTAGGGATTTGCTTATATTAGTCTAGTGAAATGTTGAAAATAATTATTTCTCGTTTTATCATTCAAAGGGGTGATCGGGTTTTAGATAATGCGAAGACTCTGTGTGGGTCTGAAATCTGGCCTCAGTCCAATCACTTCGTCACAGTAGGGGAGATTTATTGTCTGTCACAAGTATAGTTCCTGCTGTGAAATCACTGATTGGGTGATAATAGAAAAGCAACAAGCTTGTGCAGAACATTTTTCTGCCCAGTGTGATTTGCCGTGAAATTGCCATTATGAAAACATTTTTAGATGAAAACTCTCACTTGCAAGTATCCATTACGCATGCAAGTCTACATTACATGTTATTGAAACTATAAATTCCCATTAGTTTGTTCATAAGCAGATCACAAGACTCATTCAGATAACCTCAAACATAACATATTTTTTCCTTGGCATGATAAAAACTACTCACTTAATATCGATTCAAGGACTTTCTCTAAAATTCTTAATCTTACAGAAAACAGTTTAACTATAATATTCATCGTATGTGCAGGAAAGGCACTTCTTTCAGTCAATTCCATCTGTGTTATCAGCTAGCTGCCTGCAGCATCTGGTGGAAAACCGAGCAGACGTACCCCTCACACAGTTAAGTCAGTTCAGACCGTTGGATAGGTTGTCAGG